CTGATGATACCAAAATTTGGGGTGAGGTGAGCACGCTAGTAGGGAAGGAAAGATTGCAGCAAGATCTGGATAGGTTACAGGAGTGGGCTAACATAAACAGGATGCGTTTCAATACTGACAAGTGCAGGGTGCTGCACTTAGGCAGTAGAAACCAGCAGCACACTTACAGAATGGGAAACTCCCTTCTTGAGAGCACAGAGGCAGAAAGGGATCTTGGAGTCATGAGTGACTCCAAGATGAACATGGGCCGACAATGCGAGGTCACGGTTGGCAGGGCTAACCGGACCTTGTCGTGCATCCACAGGTGCATCTCAAGTAGAGCCAGGGAGGTGATCCTCCCCCTCTATGCGACTCTGGTCAGACCACAGCTGGAGTACTGCATCCAGTTCTGTGCGCCCCATTTCAGGAGGGATGTGGACAGCATTGAAAGGGTCCAGAGGAGGGCCACCCACATGATCCGGGGACAACAGGGCAGACCCTACAATGAAAGACTGCAGGACCTAAACCTGTTCAGCCTTCACAAAAGAAGACTGAGGGGGGACCTGGTGACTGTCTATAAACTCACTAGGGCGGACCAGAAGGGTTTGGGGTAGACACTGTTTCGCCTAGCGCCCCCTGGCATAACAAGGAATAATGGACACAAATTATTGGAGAGTAGGTTTAGATTAGACATCCGCAAGAACTACTTCACAGTTAGGGCGGCTAGGAGCTGGAATCAACTTCCAAGGGAAGTGGTGCTGGCTCCTACCCTGGGAATCTTCAAGAAGAGGCTTGATGCCTACCTGGCTGGAGTCATTTTAGCCCAGTTTTTCTCCTGCCCAGGCTGGGGGTTGGACTTGAAGATCTACAAGGTCCCTTCTGACCCTACTTCTATGATTCTATGAAGTTCAAGACTGTGACCTCAAAACTCTCATCAACTCCATAGGCACCTCAAGTTAATGTTGACATGCAGCTAATACTAAGCTATATTCAGTTTTTATTATGTTTGTATGAACCACTGTATTCAGTAATAAAAAGACTGTCAGTGGGATAAGGGGTCAGGAGCCTTCTCACCAGACAAGAACTGTTTGCATAACAGAGTTTTGGCATGTAAATAAATCAGCGAGGGAGGTGGCACAACTCTTTCCAGTTTTGTACGTTAATATTGCTACTCTGCACAATAGTAGCAGAATGTGCCTGACAAATAATGAAGGATTTTTAAACAGGATTCCCAGAAATTGGTGGATTAATGTTAATGTTCTTACCTTGTATTCATGGAGTATCCTGTTTGTCCAGTGAGGAGCCTTACTTTTTAGTTTGGTGAGAGGCACTATGGACTTAAGGTTTTCTTCACTGGAAAAAAGAGCCCAAATATTACCTATTGTTCCTTACTGACACAAATATGGGACAAAGCACAGTATCCAATACCCCAGTACATTACAAATATTGAGGTAAATGTTAGCTGTGTTGCCTCAGCAGCTGAAAAGTTTTCTTAAAAGGACAGCTGACATTTTCCACAAGAGAAGAATTTTCAGGTAGTGCTGAACCAGCACAGTTGATTTTCTTTTTATCCATTCTTAATCACCTGCATTGTGGATGGTGCAGGGCCAGGAGATGTTATGGATGGGATATATAGACACTTCGTCTGAGTCCAGGCCAGTACAAAGTCTCCATCAGAGATTTTAATTATATTGGGGCCATTTCACCCCTGACCAAATTCATGCAAACAAAAATGTCACTTAGGGTTAGGGTGACCATATGTCCTGTTTTAGCCAGGACAGTTCTGGATTTCAGAGACTGGTCCTGGACAGCTATTGGAAATTATAACGGGCATCCCAGAAACGCAGGGATGCAGGATGCAGTCTGGCCACGAGTCAGAGCTCAATATTTGGTCTATTAACTTCAAAATATTACAGGTGACATGAAAGCAAGATGGCTGATGCAACAATATATGAATTATTTGTTTTATAAAAGAATGCTCTTAAATTTCCTTCAACACAGACGCACATTTGCAAGGACAGATCTTTTGATAAATACATTAAATTGTTCCAGATCAAGCCCAGAAAAACTTAAAGCATAAATAACAAAAATTATTCCTGTCTTACAAAAACAGTAAGACAACACAAAATTTAATGGAAACAAATTTTAGAGGTACTATTCACAGGAGTATGGAATTGCAGGGACAAGTTCCAGGTTTCACAACTATGTTCATCTAAAGCTGCCCTAGCTGACAGGGTTTTGTTCTGAGTTGTCAGGAGCTCATGGTTTCTTGTATGATGAGCTCAAAAGTTGAAAGGCTACTTCACCAATCCACTAAAACCACAGCTCAAGATCAAAAGAAAATAAATGGGAAAGAATAACAACAGTTAAATATACCCCTAGAATCAATGCATGAAATTGCCTAACATATTTTTTCTTTTGAGTTGTAACATTCTCACTGAACTAGATGAAAATGATATACTTTCAGTCCTAGACACAAAGTATTTGATGCACAACTATTATTGTTATGGGAGTTAAATGATTAGACAGTGATGCATAGTTCTAAAACATACTCCAGATACTGGATGTCAGGCATGGGTTTTAATTAACTAGCCAGTATCTCACAGGTAAAATTTACTTGGGAATAAATGAAACAGTTTAGAGCTTGTCTGAAAAACATGTCACCTTAAAAACAAAATCATAGCAGTCACTTACTTCAGAAAACCCTGTTTGTGTTTCTTACTCTCATAATTTCCATAGACTATTTGTAGCAGCAGACTTGCCAGGGTGATCAGCTTGGCATCCGGTGATGTATAGAAGCCTTTCAGCAAATTATATCTGGCTTCATCAAACAGGATAAGGATAGCCAGTGGATCCTCAATCTATTTTAAAAAAATAAAAGTTTTAAATGTTTTTATTACATTCACTTTCTGTTTACAAACTAGGTACATATTTGCTGCTTCGACAATGGAAGAAAAAGATGTAACCCGTATTAAAATGAAATATGTGCCTTAGTAGTATTTTCTCTTACAACAGAACAAAAACCATGGTTCACCTATACTGATTACAAATATTTCCAATATCTGTAAATTATAAATCCATACTGATCCAACACTTTAATTTACAACTGAATGGCACACTATTCAAAACCAAATTTATTGCCGAATACCAACATCAAACCTATAAATTCCAGCAAGTTTTACATAATCAAGCAATCTTTTTTTTCCACTCTCTAGTACCTCTTTAGGAACAAACTGTACTACTGTTAGTCGTTTTCAGTAGACTGTTAGTCATTTTGACTACATTTATCAATGCAAGATAAATGTATTAACATGAGTAACAGTGACAAAATGTGGCCATTACAAAATGAAGAGGAAGGGAGAAAAACTACATTGATTAGCACAGGTTCTAATTCAGGAGGACTGAAATATTGGTTGATTGCTGCCTATATTTTAATTATATTTAATCTTTCCAATTGCTAGGGAGTGCACTTTAACAAGTTTTCCCTCTAGTGGAAAAACAGCATTTATGAGGAACTACTGTTTATAGGAATTTCCTTATTGCTAATTTATTTATTTGGAATGCAAGTGTTTTCTGTAATTAAGAAAACAAAGTAAAGTCAATCTTAAAATGTTAAATAGTTAAAAGGGTTATTCTACTGTTGTCCTGGATCCAACTCCTATCACAGTCGATGGAAGTTTATCCTTTGACTTCAGAAGGAATTGGACTGACCTTCTGCACGCAAGCAGAAAAACAAAGCATGTAAACTGACTTTTCCCATTATGCTTAAAAATATTTTTCTTTCATGTTTAATACAGTCCAATTCATAAGTTCTGAACCTGGCAGTTGCCATTTCTTTCTATGCCTTTGGTTTCAGATGGGAAAATAGTTCCAAATTTATTTCTATTGTAATACAGGGTAACAAGTTGTGAAACGTGCTTGATCTGAACCAAAAGGCCGACTAGTGATTAATAATTAATATATTGCCTGTTGATAAGAGGATTCTGTTTCTGATCCTGTATTTGATACTAGGACATCTAATGCAGACCTTTTTTTCAATTTCCAAAGGAAGTCTCACATCTCTTCTCAAGAAAAGCTGTGGGGTTTCCCTTTGAGGATCCAAGTTGGTCAATTCAGTGAGTATTTCAGGCCAGTCACGAACATGTTGCAAAGGTTTGTGATATGGCTTCAGCTGGAGATCTGGAAAAACAACAGCTTTTTATTTTTTTTCACAAATAAAAAACAACAGATTCAAGGACACATGAACAGATGAATGCTGTATCAAGATGCCTGAATTTGAGGACTTACGTGTGTCAACCAAAAATGTGGGTGTTTTGACTTGCCATAAATAAAAGGTCATAAACCTGGATTTACTGACATTTATCACAGCATTAATTCAAGAAATGCATTCAAACTTGGCTTATGTTCAGCTTTTCAAAAGTGAAATGAAATTCTTTTAAAAAATAAACTTAAAAATTGTAATTGGTTAATGAAGTACATAGGCAGTACTTAAAATTACATGCAAAGGTCCTGTGGTAGGAAGTGCCACCCAAACACCACGTCAAATAAAATATTTCAAATAATTTTCCTTTACTGATTTTCCTATTTCTTTTAGAAGTGTTTATGGCATTTCCAATATCTAATCTGTTAAATGACAAGGTAGGGAACTACATTCACTACTAGGTTTTGGATGCTTACCAGACTTATTTCCAGACCAAACTGTCCCGTCTCTATTTTCTGTGAAGTATAATTCTGATATGCTGCAGTCACTACATTTTTCTGCTCAGCCACCCACATGGAGGCTGACTAGATTCTTGTGCCAGCTTGCCCACAGCTTCAGTTTTGTTCAGCCAACTTGACTTGTCCATCCTGCTTCCTCTTATGATGGCTACATTGTTTACCTACCCTTCTCTAAGCTCTTCACCTTTTACCATTCCCCTCACTACAATTATTCATTCTAATTCTTCTCAAGTTGTTGTTGAACTTTCCACGTTCAAAACCCACTAAAATAAAAGTATTATAATTAGATAAAATTTTCTTTTAATATTTTTATTATATTGCTTGATTTCACCTGTAGTTGCTTAAACAGAAAATGAAAAATGGAAGGTGATTTCTCCAAGCATTTTGGCTTAAACTGTACTATGTAATTAGTATCATACAGTTTTGCTCTTCTAGGACACTGAGATTCTTGGTCAAAGTTTGAAATTTTGAATCTTTCATAGAATTACTTGTTTGTACCAAATCATTTATTAAATCAGTGATCTATCCCTGTCTATACAGCAAAACACTTCAATATTCTGGGTAAAATAATGTGAAACACATGCACAGAAATAAAGGGAAGAGGTGCAAGCATCAATCTTCATCACTTAAGCAGGTTCTCTCTACTGCAGTGTTTCCCAACCGATGTGCTGTGCCACACTGGTGTGCTGAGAGGCATGTCCAGGTGTCCTGTGGAATTTTGGGCTGGAGCCACACCCCCTGCCTGCTGCCACCGTGGACAGACAGAGATGGAGGACATGGATCCAGCCAATGATTTGCATTTGAGCACTGTGTTCAGCCGCGCCCTCCCCGCCCCTCCCACTCTGCATTCAGCTGTTGTGTCGCAGGATGGGAAAGGCCCAGAAGTATGCCACCGGAACCAAAAGGTTGGGAAACAGTGCTCTGCTTTGCATGGACTTCTGCATTTAGATATGTATGTTTGGTGGCGGTAGCTGTAGGGTGCAATATGGAGTTAAAGTGATGAAGCTGGGAGAAACTGGACGCACAGAAAATCTGTATGAAACAATTTCAGCTATAAACACAGCTAGGAAAGATACAACAGCAACAACAACAACAACAACAAAACAGTAACCACAAAAACGATAATAATAACACCATCACAGAAGTCTTGATACTTATGCTGTATTCTTAATGCAAGACTTCTGTATTAACACTATACAAGCAATATGTCAAGCCTAATATGAAGCAGTTAAAATCAGGGTGTTAGTTTCTCATTTATTTGTAATTACAAGTTAGCTCCTCAGCTACCTCATCACAGTAATAGTGTTAATCATATTATTTTAAAATAAATCTTTTTTTCTATCTGGTCTGAAAGAGGTGGCATGAGTGTTGTTAAAGAAAAAGTATTATAAAACTTGACTATATCTCATACTTTAATTTAAGAGGAGTCTTAAACTGTATAAAAAAGCTGCTACCATTATTTTCCTTCCTATCGCTTAACATTTCTTGTGTCAAAACCTCCCCTGCCAAATATATCTGAACATTGGCAAGGGATACAAAAAACAATTTTAGCATACAATTCTGCACAATAAATTTAGACCATTTAGACGTAATCAAATAAACAAAGGTAATCAATTTCACCTTGGTTGCACATTTAAATAAGGTAAATATGACATGTATGCAATATGGGACACTAGTGAGAACTTTAACCACTTGCTCATGTTAGTATTACACAGGAAGGGGAGTAAGTTTCAGCTGCAGTCTTTGGATGGGTTCACCATCTTCCCATAGTGAAATAAATCAATTACAGGGGCCACACAGCAGAAGATTCTTACTCTGTATCCCAGTAGACCTAACTTGAGGGCAACCAAAGTTCAGGGAGTTGAATAGAGTTAAGAAGGGAACAGAGAGGCTTTTCACAGTTCCCCAGACAGATGTCCTAGGAACACAGTCCTTGCAAGGAGAAGCCTATAGGAGCTGAAAGTCAGTCCGCTGGAGGAAAGCCACAGAAAAAGGAAAGAAAGTGACACACCTTACCTCTAAGACAGAAGAATGGGGAATTGAGATCTGAAGGAAGTGGATAGTGTTACCTGTCAGCTCTGTGTTCTGGGGAACCCTGGAGCAGTACCCAGCCTGTCTGACTCATGAAGGACTCCCTCCCCGCAACCTCTGCCTGAATCAGAACTGATCAGAAGAAGGACTTACAAAAGGCAATGAAGATGCAGTGAGGGACACTCAGAAACCCTTCGGATAAGGGTGTCAGGATTGAGACAACTCCCCTAGTCCCATTTGCATCAGAGAAGGGAAAGGCAGGCACCTCCATTAGCATTCAGAATGGAGAACAGAGATTCCAAGGCATGGACCGCACTAAAAGCTGGGACCAGAGAAGAAGGGGAGCACTGCATGATGGGGAATCTCTGCTCCAAATGTTAATCAACCCATGTCTGCACACACCCAGCTCAGCATTTATCAGACCAATTGTGGTGACAACTCCTTTATTGGTACGCAAAACACTGAATCTTCCTGTTTGCACTGTGAGATCCCTCAAAATAATGCCACCCATAGCCAAGAGTGATCAGTTCCTCTTATCCAGCATATGAGCCATTGTTTACCCATAAACAAACATAGTGTTCTCCCTTGAGCCATTGTTGTTTCCCTACAAAAACCCCTACCCAAGCTCAAGTTTCTGTCTGGTGCTCAGATTCAAAACCCTGCATCAGTTCCACTTTCCTGCCTGGAACACCTCCACTAATCGTGCTGCGGGCTCTGCCTGTCTGCAAACTCCAACAAACACCTAAGAACCTCGACCAGTTCAAGCTTTGCTGAGTGGTGAGACCCCAACTCTCTCTCTCTCTCTCTTTCTTTAAGACCACTTTCTAAACCTCAGACTTGGTTTAATCCCTCTCTCCCCCTTACTCGAGACACAGCTTTCTAAACCTGACTTTTGCTGATCAAACTTGAGCTAGACTTCCCCAAATACCCAACTGAAACTGCAATATTGTAACTGCTTTGTTTGTTTGTCTCTCCTTCTAAGGCTATTACTATTAGTGTCATTATAAGTTTCATATACCTGGCAATAAAATAACTTTGATGGTCAAGCTGCTTGCCATACTCTTTCTGAACCTCATTTACTCTTCTTTCTCCTCAACCTCCCCATTTGCTCTGCAGCAACGCTTCTTTTACTGAAGCCAAAGATCCCTTTAAAGCCCAAAAATCCTGTGGTGTTTGCTCATCACAATTGGGACAAGAAATTGGGAAGTGCTGAGCCAGGGCATATGAGGGTGTCAGCCTGTTAATGCTGATTGACCCAGCCCGGCTCAGACATACTCTGTTCCTGTGCTGAGTTTGGGGCGTATGAGGATATCAGCTGGAAGTGCTAAGTAACCTAGCCTGACTCAGATGTGCTCTGTTAACCTGTGTGCTTGTGTCAGACTGCATTTTATTGTTGCCCTGCTGAACTGAGTCCATGCCATGTGAGGGTGTCAGCTGGAAGTGCTAAGTAACCCAGCCTGACTCAGATGCGCTCTGTTAGAGAGAGAGAGAGAGAGAGAGAGAGTGTGTGTCTGTGTGTTCCATTGATTCAGTGGTTAGAGGAACGCAGCCCCATTGAAACTAAACCCTGCAAGGTAGCTCCATTGCGGGTGAGGAGTTGCAGAAGGGAGAGATAGAGCTCCATATAGAAACACAAGTAGCACACTGATAGAATTACAGAGACCGCAGAAACGTACTCCTAATAAATGAGCGCACCCAAAGTGACAGGCAAATCTGGTAACAATAGGCTCTGGCAGGAAATCCCAGAACAGCAAAAGCACACATTTATACATTACATGCAATACATTAGCATTACTGTAAGGTTATTTTATTTTGCTCAAATAATACAGGTTAACAAACTTGCTTCTTATACATTATAAACACACATATATAATGCATAACCATATCATATAAACACACACACGTGCGCGCACGTGTGTGCATGCACATGTGTCCCTGTGTAATGTATGAGGCAAGTTTGTTAACCTGTATTACCTGCATTATAACCTGTTTTTATAAATATATAAAAAAAAATATTATGCATTTATTATAGATAAAATTATAGGAAAGTAGGCTGGAACAGACCATGAGATCATCTAGTCCAACCCCCTGTTCAAGGCAGGATAATCCCTGATTAAATCATCCCAGCCAAATGTCTGTCTAACCCAGCCAAGTGTCTATGAAGAGATGGAGTTATGCTAACCTGTATTACTTGAGAAAAATAAAACTGAAGCCTGTAAAAAAGGAATGGAAATCCTGTGGGTCCTGAACTTTCTTCTGATGCTAGTTCACTGGCTACCAGGATGAATTAAAACATGCTAAAGAACACAAAGTGTGCAGCAGCTCCATTGATCTCAGCAGCTGAAAACTCTAAATGGCATCCAAGACAGTTTTCACACAAGAGATGTAAGAGATGGTACTATGGACCTCCAAGATATCCCTGGGTGTACAATTAATCCATTTTTTTTTTCAAATGAGAACTTTTATTTTTAATGGTCTGTAACCAAATATGACAGGCCCCAAGTGTAAGATCCTTCCTCATGTCTTATGTTTTTGTGACAAGTTATTTAGCAGAATTTGCAGGTTCACTGGAATCTGACGTGGCTGCCTTGTGAGCACTTCTGCTAGGACCTCAAACTCTTGACCTCTGGGTTTCCAGCTGCTCGCCGCAGTGTACACACCACTGGAGCAGTATAAGTGTAAGGTATTGTAAAAAAACAATTTTCAAAGATTTTTTTTTTTAGCTGTAAATGGAAAAAATAAGTATTTCACTGCATTCTACCCTCACCAAAAAAAAGGGAAAAAAAACAAACTCAAGAACCAAATATAGCCCAGCCCCAGTGCTTCACTTGACCAAAAAACAAATCACTACTTTTCTCAACTGTCCCTCTGACCTACAGCAAGATAGACTCATGTAAGTTTCAAATATCTTATGAACAACTCGTGCACAGGAAAATAAATATACAGTGTGAATTCATAGATTTCATAGATTCAAACACATTAGGGCTCGAAGGGACCTCGGAAGATCGTCGAGTCCAGCCCCCTGACCAAAGGGCAGGAAGTCAGCTGTGGTCATAGGATCCTAGCAAGATAAGCATCCAGACCTTGGGGGCTCGGACAGTAAAGAAATTCTTCCTGATGTCCAGCCTGAAACGGTCTTGTAGTAGTTTAGGACCGTTCGACCTCGTCATCCCTTGGGGCGCTCTGGTGAACAAACATTCCCCCAGGTACTGGTGGTCACCCCTGATAAACTTATAGGTGGTCATCAGATCACCCCTGAGCCTGCGCTTTTCCAGGCTAAAGAGCCCCATGGCTCTCAGCCTCTCATCGTAAGGTCTGCTTTCCTGACCTCTGATCATGTGCGTGGCTCTTCTCTGGACTCTCTCAAGCTTCTCCACGTCCTTTTTGAATTGTGGAGCCCAGAACTGTATGCAATACTCCAGCTGCGGCCTGACCAAGGCTGAGTACAGGGGGAGAATGACGTCTCGGGATTTGCTTGAGAAGCATCTATGGATGCAAGCCAGCGTTTTGGTCGCTTTACTAGCCACAGCATCACACTGCAGGCTCATGTTCATCTTGTAGTCAATGATGACCCCCAAGTCTCTTTCTTCCGTAGTGCTAGCCAGCGTAGCACTGCCGAGCCTATAAGAATGCTGCAGGTTTTTTTCCCCCAAAGTGGAGAACCTTGCATTTTTCAGTGTTAAACACCATCAGGTTCTCGTCTGCCGATTTGCTGAGCCTGTCCAGGTCAGCCTGAATCACCTGCCTATCTTCTGGCGTGGATGCTTTGCCCCAAAGTTTGGTATCATCGGTGAACTTGGCCAGTCCGCCCTTGACTCCAATGTCCACATCGTTAATGAAGATGTTGAACAATATGGGTCCAAGGACAGAGCCTTGAGGGACCCCTGGTCACAGGACACCACGATGAGTGACTTCTATCAATTACTACTCTCTGGGTCCGACAACGGAGACAATTTCCCAGCCAGTGGATCACGGTGGACCCAAGGCCATAATTGTCCAGTTTCACCAAGAGATGATCATGGGATACCAGATGAAAGGCTTTTTTGAAGTCAAGATATATGACATCAATCTCTTCTCCTTTGGCCAGGTGATCGGTCACCTGGTCGTAGAAGGAACTGAGATTGGTCAAGCAAGACCTACCAGCAACAAACCCGTGCTGGCTATCCCTTAGGATGTTGGCTTCGGCCAGTCCATTAAGGATGGCCTCTTTAATAAACTTTTCTAAGATCTTCCCCGGAATAGAAGTCAGGCTGATGGGCCTATAGTTAGCCGGATCCACTTCCCTCCCTTTCTTGAATAACAGCACAACATTGGCCTTCTTCCAGTCGGGCACTACACCAGAGTGCCAGGAGTTTTCAAAGATCCAAAATGAATGCCAAAAGCAAGCTATCAAGGTGCTACTGTCTGGTCTACCAGCCTTATTAGTATCCTTTTTTCTATTCTTTCTATTTATACAAGAAATCTTTAATGCCACAAGTTTATACTACCTTAGTACTTACTAAGATTTTCAGAACAGATCCAGATAGTGAAGTACTGCTGAGTTTCTTGAGACAGACGCATTCCCTCCATTATCTGCTGTACAGTGGTATTGTTTCCATGTTTCAACTCAACAGAACGATATGATCCATCCATTCGATAAATCCGCACCTTTTCATACTGTCAAAATATAGAAAAACAATATTAAAATAATTTAAATAAATTAAGACTAAGTTAAAATCCTATTTTTCTATTGCTAACCACCTTACAATTTAAAATCCAATTTACAAGTGCTTGCATTACAAAAAGAACATTGTAGAGTTTGTTGACATTCATCTTGTATCAGAACATATTATTCACAGATCATTTACAGCTGTGTGAATGTGTTTTAGAACAGCACAAAAGCAGATTGTATATTGCTACATGAAACTGGGCATAAAGAAAAAGCACCGTTAGTGATGGAAATTTGTGGTATGTCTTATACCTCTATAATAATTTAAAGCTTAAATTTTAAAATCTTAACGGTATCTATAGTCTCATGGGGACAAGCTGGAAATATTTTAAAAGACAAATGCATGATTTGTCTACATTTATAGCAAAAAGTGTGCAGAGAGTAGGTCAAGTATTGTTGCTATAGGTGGACCCATTACTCTCCTCAGTGTTCACTCTTTGTACATTTGCTAAGACTTGAACATATGAGTACTAAATTGTATAGAAAATAAAATACAGGCTTATTTATGGCTTCCTTCAGCAGTCTGGCTGTTTCTTCCCACTCATTTTGTTTGTTCTCTTCACAGACATTCAGTGGAGACCTTCCTTGTTGATCAGTAATATGCTACAAATGTGAACAGAAAGACTGATGTCATTCATAGTTCTCACTCTAGATAAGGAAACATTAATGAGTTCAGGAGATGCTAATTAAAATCCTTCCTTGTTCATAGGGCTTAGATACTGAGTATTTAAATACTTTTCATTAATCACACTTTCCTTTTCATGTTAATAAGTATTAGCATCCTGTCACCTGTGTATGGTTCCAGGAAAAAAAACAAACCTGGTGCCACCTTGTTATAACTATGACTGGTGAATACATGGACTTATCCTGGTTCACCTCTTCTTGTCTATTCCTTGTCCTTTTTGATACAAGCTCTTTGTAACAGGCACCAATTCTTTATATATTTGCAGAGCACTTAAATCAATAGTACTTAGCCTTACTGGAGCCTACTGGCACTAATGCAATCACTATTAACTAGACAAGTAAAGAAAATATATGATACAAACAAAAATATATATTACAGGATGAGTAATATACAGCTTATAACAAATAAGAACACTATGAAAAGAGACAGTGAAAGCTTAGACTAAAATATCTAGTGAAACCCAGTTAAGATACTGCTGACAGGAGGCAAAAATTAATCGGTTTGCACGTGTAGGGGAAAATTTTGAGATCAAGTATAATCATCAAAGAGAACAGCAATAGTGAATTGGATTAACCAGTATTTGGGTGCATAAATGTACCTATTTTTTTTTAGAAGAGTAAAGTAATATTATCTATTAAGAAAATAAATATCTACACCTCCAAGACTGGATACACATAATATATGAGTGTGTGCTTTGGTTACAATTACAAAGTACTACACGTGTAATTAGCCGGATGTGTAGATCCGGCTAATTAAGTGGATCCTAACTACAGGCCCATCAGCCTGACCTCTATCCTGGGGAAGGTCCTGGAAAAGATTATCAAAGAGGTCACCCTTAACAGGCTAGCTGAAGGCAATATCCTGAGAGATACCCAGCATGGGTTTGTTGCAGGTAGGTCTTGCCTGGCCAATCTTATTTCCTTTTACGACCAGGTGACCCATCACCTGGACAAGGGGGAAGAAATCGACGTTGTATATCTTGACTTTAAAAAAGTCTTCGAAGTGGTATCCCATGATCACCTCTTGGCTAAACTGGCTAATTGTGGCCTCGACCTCACCACGATCCGCTGGCTGGGGAACTCGGTCCACAGTAGGACCAAGAGGGTGGTGGTCAATGGGAGCCAATCATCTTTGTGTGCTGTGGCCAGTGGGGTCTCTCAAGGCTCTGTCCTAGGGCCTATACTATTTAACATCTTCATCAATGATGTGGACATTGGTATCAGAAGCGGACTGGCCAAGTTTGCCAACCACACCAAACTCTGGGGTAAAGCATCCACACCTGAGGACAGGAGAGTGATCCAGGTGGATTTTGACAGGCTCAGGAAATGGGTGGATGAGAACCTGATGGTGTTCAACACTGAAAAATGAAAGGTTCTCCACCTTGGGAGGAAAAACCTGCAGCATCCTTATAAGCTTGGCAGTGCTACGCTGGTTAGCACTACGGATGAAAGGGACTCGGGGGTCATGATTGACCACAAGATGAATATGAGCCTTCAGTGTGATGCTGCAGCCAGTAAAGCAAGCAAAATGCTGGCTTGCATCCATAGATGCTTCTCAAGTAAACCCCGGGACGTCATTCTCCCCTTGCACTCGGCCTTGGTGAGGCTGCAGCTGGAGTACTGCATCCAGTTTTGGGCTCCACAATTCAAAAAGGATGTGGAGAAGCTTGAGAGGGTGCAAAGAAGAGCCACATGCATATTCAGAGGTCAGGAAAACAGACCTTACGATGAGAGGCTGAGAGCCATGGGGCTCTTCAGCCAGGAAAAGCGCAGGCTCAGGGGTGATCTAGTGACCTCCTATACATTTTTCAGGGGTGCTCATCAGGATCTGGGGGAATGTCTGTTTACCAGAGCACCCAATGGGGTGACAAGATCAAACGGTCACAAACTCCGCCGTGACCAGTTCAGTCTGGACATAAGAAAGAACTTCTTCACTGTCCGAGCCCCCAAGGTTTGGAACAGACTGCCACCGGAGGCGGTTCAAGCACCCACTTTGAACACCTTCAAGACACATTTGGATGCTTATCTTGCTGGGATCCTATCATCCCTGCTGACTTCCTGCCCTTGGGGCAGGGGGCTGGACTCGATGATCCTCCAGGTTCCCTTCCAGCCCAAATGTCTATGAAATCTATGAAGGGAGGCTTACTCTGTCAATTTCAGGATGATTGAGAAGGATTTGCACTATTTCAGCATGCCCTCCTCCGGCAGCAAAATGAAGAGGAGAGCTAAGTTGTCCATTGAGTAGGTTTGGATTGCACTTCCCTTTCTCCAACAGCATTCGAGTGGCTTCAACTTTTCCATACCTACAAATAAATTAAAATCACAGTGGATAAAACAAAGACATATTTCAAGTAAAGTCTACTTCAAATGTTCTCAGAGATGTACCTGAAATAGTGTAGTTGGACCAATGAAAGATATCACCCAAAAGCATTTTTGCCTCTCACAAAAAACAGAGTTGTTTTTGGAAGAGATTTTAGATCAGGATATGGGACTGCAAATTTTTGTTTTTCTTTTCTGAATAAACCTGCTCATTATTAAGGACTATGTCATTTGGTAGGTAGGGGAATTGAGATGTAAATGTTTCATATGCTAAAAATATATTAAATAGCTGTTTCACTTTTCACAAAAATTAATCTCTGGGCTAATAAAATATATAAAGATAATTATCCAAAGGACTAAAAAATACTAATCACATGAAAAAATGAAAGTGGTTGTAATGATAATTTTGATAAACCTAACCATATCAGTGACTGCATAGTCATTGCCAAGTTAATGAGAGGCACTCTAGAAATGCCACATAAAAATAAAATGAAATGATAAAAATAATGGAACATTTCAAAGGTTCATTATTTCAAATTTTCCTTCCTTCTTTGTATTTTTAAATGGAAAAAAGCAGTTAAATAACAAACAACTTTTTGCATTTTTGTAATACTAAGGGTAAGTGTACCCAGCAGTCACTGGAGCTCTGACTGTAGCACAGCATACTACATATATGCAAGTTAACTTTACACTGGTAAAACTCTACTCTGCTGTTAATGTAGTCACAGCAGCACAGACCCCTGTAGGCTGCAAAATCTACACAAGCAGCAGAGCAAATAGTCTGCGACTGTAAATACTCTGTGGGCGTGCCCTAAGAGTTCTGAAGTACAACAGTGAAATTAGTTTCTTCACTTCCAAATAATAAAGAGGAATGATTAGATTAAGGACAAAACAAATGAAAATGTTTTCACTGGAATGTATAAAAAACACAGAAACATTTTTATTAGCCTCAAGGTCTTAACTGTGCTTCAATAAACCTTAAAGTTTGAGCTAAGTTTTAATAGCTAATGTCCCTTTAATCACATAGGCTGTGTCCAGATATGCATGAACATTTGGTTCCCCAAAGACAACTAGCGGCAGCACACCTTGTGCCGCCGCTAGTTGTCCTGGGGAAATGCCTGTGCCTCACGTGCTCTGGCATGGGGCAAGTTACACTAGGTGGGGTAGGGGAACCAGCACTGGGATGGCCTCAGCAGCCTTACCTGGGATCCTGGGGGCTTCCCAGGGATGCAGCAGTGGCAATCCTGCTGCATGGAGCCTGGCCAGTAGTGGAGTGTGCCTCCAGCTGGCCAGGCTCCAGCTTTGGATGGCGCACGTTGCCACTGCATGCACCACTCAGCTTTTTTTCCCATGTTTTTTTTTGACCTCTGGATACTCCTTGTAGTGCAGAGCACAACTTAACGTGAGGTACGTGGCGCTGCAGATGTGTCTGCGATGCCACATACCTCACGGCCATGCTTGTCTGAATGCAGCCATAAAGAACAAAGAAACATAGAAACTGCTATGCTGGATCATCCTGTGGTCCATGTAGCCCAGTATGCTGACTTAATACCAGATGACTCAGAGTAAATAAATAGAAGAAACTGGAGGCAGATGGGGAATAACATGTCCTCTATGTTATGTCTCCTCTGAAATCCTTTAGTTACAAATTAGCTTAAATCCTGATGCACAAAGTTTAAGTGCACAGTTTTGGTATTTGTCAACATTAATTTTTTAGGAATAAACAATTAAAAATCAGAAGTTTGGATTTCTCAGCAATTACTATCACAAATCCTACAATACGGTTTTGAGCCACAAATACCAAGAACGTATTGCATGACAAAATTCTTACCAGCATGCATAGTGAATGGGGGCCCAGTGGTCACTGTCTAACTGGTTAACTGAAAAGTTTTCATCCAGAAGGCGGCTCAGTAATTCAGAGTCTCCTTCACAGGCACTGCGATGAAGAGGGAAATCATCTACCCATTGGCGCTCCCTAGTGACAAAAATTACAATACACACCAACTCAGTAATATTCTAGCAGACAAATTTAAAAAATGTAAAAACAACACACTTCTGTTTATTTTTTCATAGTTTCATAGTTTCTAGGGTCAGAAGGGAC